GAGGAGGGTTGGGGAGGTGGCCCAGCTCCCCCCCAGCCTCCACTCCTCCTGCTATGCTGCAGGGCTCTCCACCCGTTCCAGCCTCCTACAGCAGCGGCCAGTTAACGCCACCCAGCGCACCCAACCGCTGTCCCGCAATGCCCTGCGACGGCTCAACCTGCTGCACCCCCCGAAGGTCAACACCACACACCTGCACCAGCCCAGCCAGAGACATCTCAACTTTTGAGGCACTCTGACCTTCATCATCATCGTCATCATCATCAACCTCAGTCCCTTCAGTAAAATGGGATGTAACACTGGCCAGCCACAAAACACACACACCTCTATTTGTTCCAACTCTTAGCAAATCAACACCAGCAACAATTCAGTCAACAGCCATTTCTAACACCTGGTCTGTCCTCACATCTGATTGGACAGTGAAATAGGGAAAATGGCTGGCGTTTTTCATCAGCTCATGTGTCCATTTGATTAAGCGTCTCCTACCCACCTCCTCCTCTTCATCCATCCATCCTCTTTATATTGACCCTGAGAAGAAGGGATGTGAAAAGAAAAGGTCATCATGTGTCCCCTTCTCTCATTCTATTTTCACCATGTTTTATTCTTCCTCTGTTGGACCAGTTTGTGGCTAATCACAAAAAGGAGGAGATGTCACAGCGGCATCCTCATCTTATTTCTTCTTCTTCTTCTTCTTCTTCTTCTTCTTCTTCTTTATGGACATCTGTATGTGTAGAATCAATGCTGTAGGTCACTTTACTCAGTGGCAGGTTCACAGCGTGGCAGGATGGTGATAGTTTGTTGCCTGGCAACTTCTTGGGCAACTCAGCAGGATCCGAACACATACAGCGCAGCAGTACGACACTTAATCAGTGCAGGGCTGTTGTAATGAGGCTTCGAGCAATGTTGTCCCGCAGTGTTGCTCAAAATGTTGCCAGTATCTGTTTGTTGTCCACAGTGGAGACTCTTATTGAGGGTTCCTGTAACAGGCAACTTGAACCCTGTTGACTTCAAACAAGTTGTAAAATCAGCTTGTAAAATTTTGAGTCACTGCGGCTGAAACAGATTCCCCTCAAAGAGTCTGACATTGTTAATGATCCGTTTTTGTCACTTTTGCCTTCTTTACTCACAAAAATCTCGGTGCCTCCTGTTCATGTGTCGAAGTGTCCTTGGGCAAGACACTGAACTCCCCCGTTGCCCCTGATGGTTAGAGCCATCGGTTGGGGTGGCGCCGCAGATGGCTGCCATCGGTTCTGTACCGGAAACAAATTCCTTGTGTGTAACATACTTGGCCAATAAAGGTGATTATCTTTATTATCCTGATTATTAAAAATGAATTCCTACATTTCCCAGAATGCCCTTTGACAGCCATCAGAGGTAAAAGGGGGCTCGTTCAGTCTCTCTGTATTCAGCTCATGAAACCAACTGTAAAATGTCTGCTGGGCCTCTGGGGAGTCTGAGAAATGAGTGTCATACTTTATCATCAGTGCTGGAAGTGCAATTTGAAAGACAGATGGTTACTTGGCAGGGGGGGCTCTAACTAAAACCCTCTTTACAGAGATTCTGCTATATTGGCGGCTTTGTCTCGGTGACAACAATTTATTAAAACCTCACACATCTCCGTCCACAGTCTGTCTCTCATGCGTCCAAACAGTCAGTGTGCAAAACGCACTCATGTCTCTTGTTCATGTGCTTACACCAGACAACTGTAAGTGGGGTTTCTGCCTCCCAGAGATTTGCAACAGTGTTGACTGCTCCCTATGTACTGTATATATGCTTACATACTTTAGGAAAAGTGCAACATTTTGAGCCCATATTACATCTTTGTCAGTCATAAGTCCTCCAGTTTTTAACCCTTAAAATCCCTGTTTTGGATGATTTTTGAAGAATGCCCTTCAGAGGAAACAAATGATTCACGTCTTGCTGTAGTAGAAGCAGTTTTCAGCATAACACATAGTCCACATACATCTATGTTTCGGTGTGAAGGTTTTGGCAGAGCTAAGCACAATCCAGATGCAAACATGCAGCAGTCCAGGTTTGTCTGTGAAGCTGGAGTGTGTGACTGAAAACTGAGAGACAGAACAGGGAGTGTTATGAGCCACCAAAATTAGTCACAACTGACTCAAAACTGTACTGTAGGCATGTTGCCTTGTAGTCCGTTTTCTGATCTTGTACTGTAGGTATAGACACTCGGCTTTAGTTTTTTTGTGTATTTCTTCTTTGGGGAGTTGATGTCTATAGTTGGTCAGATATCCACATCTCACTAATGAATGCATTGCATCACCACTTGAAGTTTTCCACGCTGTCAGAGCATTTTGAGGGGATGTTAGCTTTACCTCCATCTCTTTGAAATCGCCCTGTGGTTAAATGCGATGTCTCCCCGTAGTCCGTCCTGCTGCTGCTGTCTAAACCTGCCGCTGACTTTATAATTCAGTACTTTTCACAATGTTCTTTTGAAAAAAGAAAAAAAGTGGTTAAAAATTACTGGGTTAAATATCACTAAACGCCTTGTTTTAACGGTAGCTTTGAGATGAATAGAAATGTATTTAAAAAAACTTCCAAAATATTTTTTGAAAAGAAAAAAATAAATTACATATCAGTATGAAGTTGGTATATATGCATCTATGGTTTCTTGCTTAGGTATGTTTGGTTATGTTAGCGTGCAATTATTTGCATGGTTGTAGAGTTGTGTTAGTGTCACAATGGTGGAAAAAAGAAAATGAAAAAAGATTTTTTCTTTTTGATATTTTCTTGTTTATTCTAAAATGAATCTGCAGTCCACTTCTCAGGGCCACATCCAATCACCTTTACACTTTAGGAACATGCAGATTTATTTGACAGCTGATGATTCTTTGTGTGTGCTCGGACTTTTCCAGCTCCACCCCAGCGAGCTTTCCCTCGTGAAAATGTTTGTGAGGAAAAAACTGATTTTTAGTTTAGCGTCTCAGAAACTTCTCCTGGTCCCAGGACTGTGAAAACAAACTCTTGACGTCTCAGTCGACTGTTGGGAATCCATCGATACAGGGAGAAACTTGTTGTTTATATTTCTCGCTCCTCTGTACCTGACATGATTTTAGAAGTGTACTTTATGCTTTATAACTATTCTGTTTTTCATCTTAACTTACATTTTGTTAAACTGGTAAAATATTTAAACCAAAAATGTAGCAATGATCTTTAGCCTTTGACTAGTTTATAATACGGATGTTCTTCTTTTGTGTTGTTTTTAACATTGTGGTGTTGGAGGGTTGTCTTGTGCTGAACGTGTGTGCTGTAGGGAAGGTGGAGCCCAGGCCTAGTAGGCACACTGCAGGGCAAAAGATATAATCCATCATACAGACTGACAGAAGCTGTGGAAGCCCATTTATGTCAAGACAAAAAACAGATAAAATATAAATGTTCAAAATTATGACTTGTCTCAAAGTTGCCACATCCCCACTCGCAACTTTGACTTAAATAGTCAAAATTTTACTTTATATCAGATTATCTCAAAATATGTTTATATATCTTTAAAAACTTTATTTCTTTTATGTAGAAAGTCCAACTTTAAAAGTTTTAAAGCCAAAAGTTTGAATTTGTCTAAATTTTGACATATCCCAAAAAATATACAAATTTTGTCTCGCTGAATCAAAATGATGTAAACGAAGGAGAAGCCAAATTTCACACTTGTAATTTTGATTTATCACTAGTATTTTTATTCATAATTTTTCCCTTCTTATTAATTTTTTCTTCTCTAGCATAAATTGGCTTCCATACTGAGGTTCACTGAAACTTAAATTCTCAATTTTGTGTGGAAGATCTGCCGATGAGAATTTTAAAAGTTGTTTTTTTAAAATAATGCTGGAAAAAAAGAAGGTTTTTTTTGTCATGGTTGACGATACACAAAAGAAAAAGGATTTTAAGCTTCAGTAAAGATTCATTCAGGTGTGATGGGAACTTTGTGCAGTGTTGTTTCTCTGGTCGTGTTGATGACTGTATCATTGAAACACTAACAATGTTTGTTGGGTGTCTGAACGGTTCGCTGTAAATATGAGTGGAGTGGTTCTTTCTCTGGTGTATTTGAGCTTTGCTTTTCTTTCTCAGCTGTCTTTCTCTACCTACTATCAGGCTTTGCAGTCATGTTATTTTGTGTTACTATGATGTTTTTGAAAGAGACAAAAGGGACGGGATGATCTGTGTCCTCCTGCTGTCAGGAGCCTGTCATGTTTATGTTTTCAGCTCATCTCTCATCACAATAACAGGGATTTGTAAAGGTTTTTGTTCAATGCCTTGAAATTTGTGGATCACGTGCCTTCCAGGTTGAAATGTTGTAATGATAATGCATCAATGAAGAACTTGAACTCTGTTTTTTTTTTATGTCCTGAGTGGGTGTATTAAATAAAACTACACAAACAGACATCAGAAACTATGCACCACTTGGAGGAAGCTCCCGCCACCACCTCCCCAGCCTGTGCCCAGCTTTTATAATGACTCAACAAACCAGACAGAATGATGTAGCAAACCTCTTTTCATCGGTTGTTTATTTTAAAAAAAAGTGTGAAGAACATTTTGTGGCATTTTTATTATTCACCAAGTGTCAGACATTTGTACTTTTTGTGTAGTTTACTGGAATAATACAGCACTTTGCCAAAAAGAAAAAAGGTGTAGGAACTTTAGGGTTAACTTTTTATTTATCAACATAACTGGTCTCCTTCTTTGTATTTTGGAAGTATGACACACTTCACTCTGTTTTGATGTCAGAAACAAAAAATGCTAATTAAAAAGTGGGGTCATCTGTTTTCAAACTAATAGTTAATACATGTGATCCCTTATTAGTCTAAAATAAATGTTTTCTTATGCAAATCTGTCTATGCTTCGGGATTTCTAAAGTTTGTGGTTACTCAGAATTTTACATATTCACATTATTTCTTATGTTTGCTAAAATTAAGTTGATACTAAAAAGTGCTCAGTGGTGGTCCTATGAATAAAAAAGTACAGCATTCATGAAGATTTTAGCAGAAATTTCTTGGTTACTTTGCAACTTAAAGAGCTTAATAAAAAGTTTAAAATATATTCATATTAAAGAGTCAGTTTCTGCTCTATAGTGGACATTTTTACATTCAAACTTTACTCTCCAAGTTGTGAATAACTGTCTTTGACTTTAAAACACAATGTTAAAAACAATACAAGACAATGATAAGAAACAGCAAGAGCAATGCCAACATACTGCATGATTTAAAAACTTATTTATATTCTGCAAAACGGTTGCTGGACACGTGGGGCAAAATTCATTTAATTTCTTAATAGCATTCACAGCTGCAGATTTGATAGATTAAAGTGAAAACCCCTTTCAGTGATTTAGTAATGTTTCTAATGCAGATGACAAACGTTTGTAGCGCTTTTCTAAATCGACAAGCAGTCCATTAACGAGGTCTCCAAAGATAAACAGAGAAACGGTGAAACCGTGGCTGAGTCATTATATATAGTTGCAGCGTCTTCTATTAAGTATATCCGTTAAAAACTGAATTAAACACGTGCCTCTGTAGCAGCCCTGTTTGACAGCAGACCCACGTGCTCAGTCTGTTTACATTCTGCGGAGGAAGCACGCGGCTCTCGCTTCTCGCACACTCATTGGCTAAACGTCACGGAGGTCCCTCCCACTGGAGGGGCTCGCACACGGAAGCTGTTTAAGAGCCTTGAAAGAAAATGATAAAACTGCGTAAAAAGAGAAAATGACCGCAAGTTTCTACGTGTAGGTGATTTTTGTGCGTCTACCGAGTCCTTAAAGTTTAACCGGAACGTACAGGAAGCGGGATTTCCATCAAAAACCCTTCCCGCGACTCCGTGTCCGTTAGAAATGAAAGTAGGCTCCGTTTAAACACGGTAAATAACCCGTTGACACGCACTCTCGTGCTCGTAATAACAATTTTAACACAGAGCAGAATACATCCTCTCCACGAAACACTTGAGTGTTGTTCCACTGTGAAAATCTCACTTCAAATTTAAACATTTAGCGGGTTTCTGTGAACCGGGAACGTGCATGCGCACTGGTGGCAGCAGGCAGATGCGGATATAAGGATTGGCGCCGGCGCCACAGCTGATGTATTCATTCATTCTTCACTGAGGAGGTAAGACTGATGAGCCCGAGAACGCTGTGCTTATACATGCAGCGTTACAGTCTAGTACATTTTAACTGGTAAAGCGTTCAGGGGACGGGGTACATCGTGTGTTTTGATTTTAAATCTCCAATAGTCCTGACGGAATTCTGTGTTAAGCGGTTCTAAGCCGGATAGGCGAGGGACCGCAGCCAAATCTTAGATTTAACTTTGTATTTAGTCTTATTTAAAGGGGTTTTCACCGTTTGTGCCATCTACATTACTTTGTTTTTATCTTGTGTACTATGGTGGAAGTGTGTTTAGTGCAAGTTTGGGTTTTTGTGGCGTTTATTTGTTCAAGTCCCGAGGCTGCTCGTGTAACTTTTAAAACTCGCACAAAAGTGTTTTTAGTGGTCTTTTACCTGTGTTCCTGTATCAAACGAACATTAAGGCATTTCATGTATCAAACGAACATTAAGGCATTTCATGTAGATCAAACGAACATTAAGGCATTTCCGAACATTAAGGCATTTCATGTAGAACCAGTCGCTTATCAGTTTATCCGTGTGTCGGGTTTAGCTGGTTCTTGTTGACGCAGTTAGCAGTTACCCCGCTAAGTTTGCTAGGTACAGTAGCTCCTCTTCGCAACTTGGCCTTAACGTTCATGGTGCTTCGTGGGCTTTAAATGGGTTTGTGCTTAAATCCGTGGTTCAGAAGAGTTTGTTCTACTCGTCGAGACCGGTTTAAAACTAGTATGAGTTATCTTTAGCGGTTATTTCCACTAGTTTCTCCCCGCAAACCTGGAAGAGGCTCGGGGAGGAAGGGCTCGATTCCTCCCGCTTTTGCGCTTAGTAAATTGGCGCGTCTTTGAGTTTCAGTAGTCAAATAGAGTTCATATTTTGATGATTTGGCCAATTCAAACTACACCAAAGTTGTCTGGAGATGTGTGCTTCGTCACCGAATGTGAGTATATTCTGTTGAAATTGAGCATTTTCGAGCTTTTTTTGTTTGAAATCGAGGGAGCTACCAGCCCCCCTCCTCCTGGGCTGCAGTTGCCACACTAGCTTACATGTCCAGGCTGCCCAGTTTGGCCCTGTTTATAATCACAGTTATGTCGGTTTGACATCTCTACTGTAAGATATTGTGTATCCGTGCTTACATGTGGGGCTTTAGCTTTGGCAGTCGACAGTTATTGTTTTTATGAAGCTAATTTGGCTGTCTTCATTAACTAACCTATAGTCTACTCTGCTCCCATTCTACCACAAATTACAGCCAGGCTCAAAATGTAAATGTGATATTTGGGCTCCAACCGGACTGTCCTGGAGGCAGTTTGTGATTTATAGACATTTTTAGATATTTTTCTGTGCAGTTAAATGTCTAGTGATCCTCTCCAGGGTTGGCACATGGGCTAACAAATAACATGTTTACATGTGACTACTGGGTCCAGTGGCCCCAGAACATGAAGTTCTTGTCTCATTCATCTGTTTTTGTGTTGCAGCTGAGCCATAAATAAATAACTACAGTCGACACCATGTCCAGGCGCAGGTAAGCAGCTGGTGGTTTTTGAATCTCAAACTGTGGGCTGGGGCCTAAGTTAGTTACACGCTTTTTTTTTGTAATTTTAGTCAAAGACTACCCCTACTCCATTTACCCACCACTTGTAGGGTTATATGACCTTTAGCAAACTGCAGGAATTGTACAGAGAGAACTGTGGAGTTGATGAGATCCAGTGGTGGTCAAGCTAAAATACTTTAGCAGTAAAACTCAAACCATGGTCTTAGCTGAGTGCTGCTATTGATGATTTATTGCAGATGAATCCAAACAGACTCCTGATTTCCTGTTTGAACCTAAAGCTGTGACGTTGATGTAATGCTAATTTTATTTCAGCAGTCGCATCACGCTTCATGCCAGAGACTCAAACACACCTGAGTCGCTTGTCAGAGTGCCACTGAGGAAAAGAAAATCAGAGGTTTGTGTCTTACCACCTTATTTTTATCCAAATGTTTGTCTGGTGTGGAATTGCAGTAAGGGCAGAAACTTTTCTGACCTCTCCAGGCCTTCCTGTAAAGCAATTTGTTCCGTGTTTGTTGTAGCTGTGAGCTCAAATGCTGACTCTACTTTATTTCTTCTTCAGCCTTTGAATAAGCAACAACCTGCTACCAAGAAACAAAGCTATGAAATACAGGTCAGTATGTGTTAACTGATAAAGAGCTGAATCTGCCTTATATGTGGTGTTACTACCCTTCCCAGTGTGACCAGCCCTTTTTGAAACCCCTGTGATTAGTAGGGGATATGTACATGTACATGCACATTGAGAGCCGATGTACCAGAGTCAAATTCCTCGTGTGTCCGACACACCTGGCCAATAAAGCAGATTCAGATTCTGGTAGTCGTGTCAAAATACTGTCCATTTTGTTACTCTGGTAACAATGCTGTTACACAGCATGCCTGGTGTTTGTTTACGACTGCATTTCATTTCCTTTGCTCTCAAATCTGTTTTGTGTATTGGCTTGTTTCCTTTAAGCCTGTCTTTAATCATACTTAAATTATAAAAGTGGTTCAGTTAATTTATCTGCAACCATGCAGTGCCTCATCTTCACCACAAGGTGACATCATTTAGTAACTGATCATCTTCCATCGTACCTGATGGCTTTTAACTCTTAAAGCATTGATTTAAGTGTTTTGTCATGTTTTTATTTTTGAAGCTAGAAACAAATTAATGTCAGGCTTAACACATTTTAACAGTTACTAGAATATTTTGTCACTCAACTGATTATTTCAGTCCTACAGTGATGTAAGATTAATGCTGCCATGCTGTACTGCTGTCTGTGTGTGTGGCCTCTGATCAGTCTTCATTCGTGTTTTGTGCCTTTTCCTTGTCTTGCGTTTCCAGAAGTGTTGGTTGGAGGATGGAGCGACTCCATGCGTACTGGTTGAAACTCCCCACAAAGAGCTGGAGCCCGCAGACCCATCCAACTTCAAACAGTACAGATTCAAGAACCTCTTCATCCAGGCCTCCCCCATTCCCCGCCTCAGGTAACTGTATTTTACACCTCCAATGAGGGTCAGCACTTCACACTGTTGCTGAGCTGTTAGCCCACCCGACTGTATTCAGAGTTCAGTGTTCTCATTCACCACAAATTCTGTTATTGTTGAGACTTTGAATGGATCCACTTTCAGGGTTTCATGTCTTAATTAACCCCCAAGGCGAACGTGCATTGTTGCAGCAGCTGACATTGGTACAGACGGCAAAAACAAAATAATGTGCTCATGGACAACACAATATAATCAGTGAGGTGAAAAAGAATTAAGTAACAAGAATAACAAAATACACAGATGGAATCCTAAAACTGGAGTAAATAAGTACAAGTAGGAGCCTGATTGTGCAATATGGCAATATTGTAAATATAACAGTATTACTGTGGAACTGAAGTTATCAGATACATGTAGTGCAGTAAAAAGTACACGGTTTGTCTCTGACACGGAGTGAAGCAGCAGAACATGGAAATACTTAAAGTAAAGCCTTAAAAATGTACTTGAGTACAGTATTTGTGTAAATATCCTTGCTGTCCACTACCGATATGTAGTCATAACATTTCAGCTCACAACTAATTGTGACACAAAATTCATATGATTGGAATGTGCTTAAAGTAAAAACTTTGAGCTTTTTGTGAAGGTGTTTGATAGAAATGTTTGAATCATTGGCAGAAAACAAAGCAGAAATGTTTTATTTGCATACAGCTGAGGGTAAACCTCTCGGGCACATCTCAACATGAATCTAACAGGTGGACTTTTCTCTTCCAGCTGGGCCAGTTCAGATGATGTGTGGATCAAAATGCTCAACAAGGAGCTGAAGTACGTCCATGATAAGAGCTACCTGCAGCGGCACCCCAGGCTGCAGCCCAAGATGAGGGCCATTCTGCTGGACTGGCTGTTCGAGGTGAGGAGCAGCACTGATTCCTTTCAGTCTCTCATTTGGCACATCTCAGACTCCTTTGAACAAACTGTATCCCTGCCATGTATTCGTGCAGGTGAGTGAGGTTTACAGCCTCCACCGGCAGACGGCCTACCTCGCTCAGGACTACTTTGACCGCTTCATGCTGACCCAGAAGGATGTCGGCAAAGACTACCTGCAGCTCATTGGCATCACTGCGCTCTTCATCGCCTCCAAAATAGAGGTGAGTCTGCTGTCATCCTCCACTCTGCACCCGACTGTGGACTCGGATTGTTCATAACCATGTAACGATTACATTTGTTCAGTTTTATATGAGCATTTCCTGAAGAAAGTTTAAAAGCCAGTCATCTGATTTTTAGGCCCCAAGTCTTAAAATGCAGTTTTGATAGATCTTAAAGATTAGATCGTGTTTAGGCTGGTTAATTTTAAATGTGCAATGTCACATTAACTTGTGTGTTTTTGGAAAAACAAGCCATTAAAGTAGTACCATCACTGTAGTACTGTACATTAGTACCATGCTTTAGTTGTTTGCAAATACTTCTTGGACAAAGTAATTAGTTCATAATCCACATGAATACTCAACTGATTTTCTTCATATCCTATGTAATTTTTTTTTTTTTTGCCATTATTGGTTTTCAGTAGTTTTACATTTGACTTGATAAATCCTGTTGTGTGCCACTGTGACAATGAGTTTAAACTGTGTGTGGCATGTGGTCCTGCAGGAGAGTGTACTGTGAAACTGAGCCTAGTGAAGTGAACTGACTGGAACAGGAAGGGTTTGACATTGTGTCGCTTTCAGTATTAAAATTAACATGAAATCAAAAGATTGAATAGTGATGATGCATCAGGTTTGTTTCATGGGCCAACTCACCTTCTTAAAGCTGTTTTGTTTCTTAATTATTTTTCATGCATGATTGTTAGGTCACTGTTTTTGAAAGGAAGAGCAATGTTTCAGCACATCTTTACTGCTGGTTTTTATGCTAAAGAAGAAATGCGACTGTAGGAGAGTGTTCAGTGCAGTTGATGTAGAGTTTAGACAAAAGGTCCTTCAGTGTCAGTATGTCCACATTCTTACAAATGGCAAATATGAAAAAAACAGCTGTGAAAATGACATTTAAAAAAAAAAAAAACAGCTGGGTGCTTGGATTCAAATCAAGCCATCATTTTTCTGTCTTCAGGAAATCTACCCTCCTAAAATCTGCGAGTTTGCCTACGTCACAGATGGAGCCTGCGATATGTGGGACATCCAGCGCACAGAGCTTCACATACTGAAGGTAGAACAACACAAACACTGAACTCGCCCCTAACGAGCTCTGGTAACAAGTGAGTCGCACTGAATGATGTTTGTCTGTTTCAGGAAAGACTATACATATTTTGTAACACACTGTTGCCACAAGCCTGTAGAAAGGGTTCATGTATGGATTTGTCTGGTAAAAGATGCAACACTAAAGTTTTATAATGAAATTCAAAATGTTGAACAATTTCTCTGAAAATTTTTTTAATACAAAAGTAACAACTACAAATTGCACTGTATTAAAGAAGAAACTGTGGGCGTTGCAAGGATGGATGCAAACCTAGTTTCACTGTGTTGAGCTGCATGCTGTTAATCTCCCACAGGCGTTGGATTGGAACCTGCATCCAGAGACGTCCATCTCCTGGTTGAAGCTGTATGCTCAGGTCGAAGCCCAGAAGGAAGCAGAGAACTTCCTGGTGCCACAGTTCTCACAAGAGACGTACATCCAGATCACACAGGTAGCTGAACGTCACCTCTCACCACAAACACAACAGAAATCAGAATCTTGACTTTTTACCGTTTCAGTCAAGGCTGTTCCACAGACACCCTGACCTTTGACCTGTGTTGCAGCTGCTGGACCTGTGTATGATGGATATCGGCTCATTGGACTACAGCTACAGTGTTCTGGCTGCAGCTGCTTTCTGCCACTTCTTCACCTTTGATGACCTCCACAAAGTCTCAGGTAGGTTTGAGTTGTCTCTCCTCTCACATGTGGTTTCCTCATTAGCTGCTGCTAAGTGCAGCTGCCATGTTGGTACAGGGGCATCGCCTCATGCATGCACGCCTATGTGCACCTACCCTGCACTTTATTAGTTAGAACTGTATGCACTTCACTGCAACACTTCCACCTCAATGTCTGTTTATGCAGCTCGATGTTTCAATTTTTGGCAAAAGTGTCAAATGTATAAATTCTGTTTATCAAGGTCATAGTTAAAGGGGGTGTTGTACTGGGCTACATTATATTCAGAGGTGTCTATTTTTGTCCTCCCCAGCTACACACAAGGGTCTGAATACAGTGTAGCCCAGTACAACACCACCTTTAACTATGACCTCAACAGTAAACGTATTGAATCTGAAACATTTGACAGTTTCACCAAAAACTGAAACATTTTGTTTTATAAAACACAAATGTTAAGGTGTAAGTGTCTCAATGAAGGACATACACATTGTACAGTTGTACCTAATAAAGTGGCCGGGGAGTGTGTGAAGACAAGGTCAACCCACAGCTATAGTTGTGATGGCTCACTGAGTCTACAACTGATTTTCCAGATGATTTGGATTGTTGCATTATAATGTGGAGTTTCAAATGGTCTTATACTTGTATAGCGCTTTTCTACGCTTTACAGTACACTCAAAGCACTCTTACGCTACTCGGCCATTCGCACTCCCAAACACACACATTCACACACCGGTGACATCACCGGGAGCAACTGGGGGTTCAGTGTCTTGCTCAAGGACACTTCGACATGTTGACTGGACAAATGACCCGCTCTGCCTCCTGAGCCACAGCCGCCCCCAAACCCAAGTCTTGAAATTTTTCAACTTATCACTCTGTGCCGTAGACCTCCACTGTTGTCCACCAGCTACTAAACACAGCCCAGTGAGCCACATTGCTGCACTGGAGGGCAGGTGCTCTCCTCAGGAGAGGTGAGGCCATCTGTTTTCAAAATAAATAGCAAAAACAGATTCAGCTGTGCACGTGGCTTTCACTAGCAATGCGTGAAACTAATGGACGCTACGTTCATGTGAGCCTCACGTTTCCAGAGGAAGAAACCATCGCGCAGTGCGGTGGTGTGTTTAATAGTTGTTGGACAACAGTGGAGGTCTACAGCACAGACTGAGCTAAATCGGGGTCTGGGCACCCACACTATGGTGCTGACGCCATATTCACTTGGATTTGTCAAATAGAAAATCCTCAGCCTTTATCCTTTGGGATTAGTTTCTACATTTATTTTTTTCTTACTGCAGTGTAAAATGGCTGCCATT